TGGGGGGGGGGGGGGGGGGGGGGGGGATTTCACACAGAAATCCCAAAACAGACCATATTTGCATTTTGGGATATTCCTACCATTCTAATGTTTCTCATACTCGGACAACACATTTGTACTGATTCAGGATTTCTTAACAAAGGGACTTTTGGCTTATAAAGGAATTTGCATGAATGTTCTCGCTGATTTAACAGGCAATTTCTAAGATGGGGTTTACTGCCCTTGACTATAGATTTCCTTCCATATTTTCAACTTATCCCTTACCCAATGATAGAATTGTGCATAATCCAACTGAGAAATTATGTTAGAATTGAACTTGGCAAAGCCAGAATAACCATCCCATTGAGGGCACTTGCAAAAAGCATTGATACTGTTGAGATCAGACACAATCTGCAACACTGACTCTTCATGACCTTTCCCACCGCGAACTTTGGATGGCACTGTACATCTACAATCTTTGTCAACAGAGTTAAGGATCATTTCGATTCCGTTTAATGCAGCTGCTATCCTCTGAGCACTTTCTTCATTGACATTTGCCCCAAGAGCTTTGAAGCAGGCTTTCAGCAAATTGTTTAGATGCTCTAACCATAAATCAAGGGGAATATTCCTACCTATTCTTCCTGAAGTGTTACAAAAGCGGTTGGACATAAGGCTAAATGCTTCAGATTGATTTAGTATGGCATGAACACGCACCAACAAAAGCAGAGTCACATATGCATACTTTGTATGACCATAACAAGAAAAAATCAACAAGGCCAATTTGTATAGTGAAAGCAGTCTTTGTCTATCCCCTTCTCTAATGGCATCCCCAAAATCGGACAACAAGAGTCCATATGTTAGCTTGGCTTTGTGATAGTTGAAGACATGGTCTTCCTTTTTCTCTTCTGCAGAATTTATAACATGGCCAGTCTCAGAGCTGCTAGTGTATGTAGCTGGCAAGTCAGGATGGGATTGCTTCTCATGTCTACCCCAGAAAAAAGTAATTCGTAACATTATTGTTAGTGGGTGAACTTATCCCCATGCAAAACAAACATATTGGACCGTGAAGTATATATCCTCACTACATATGAAAGTAGGGATGGTAATGCTTTTTATGTCAACAACCAAACAGTAATTGTTAATTGGTGAAATTATGAGTGTTAGCAGGTGAACTTATCATTTCATTTATGTACTAAAAACAACTGAGGTGTTGCATTTGGTCACTTAAGAGAAGCTTACGTTTTTAGTAAAATTATAGTTCCAGAAATGGCAACATTTAAACATTATAGGAGCCTTTGTTTTGTCTTTTGCAGACCTTATATCACACTAAGTAATAATTACTTACCTGTTTCTTGTGGCTTTAGTTTTGTACACCAGACCACAGCTTCCTCTGCATCTGTAATAACCTTCTGAGTCTAGTGGTGCCGAAGGATCATTGTCTTGAATGGCAAGTTCAGGATGGGCCTCAATCTCATGCCTATTGAAAAATTACTCAGTTATCTTATTTTGATGAAACACAATTATGTTTTGTTTGAGTGATTACCATCAAATGAAGAAGTCAAATGGTCCTACGTGTTACTCCTACACATTAAAAAGAAGAGTGTTGTGATCAATGTAACATGAGGGAAAGCTAAACACTGTGAAGTTTAGTTACTAGCTGTTGCAAAAAACAGTGCATTAATGTCAAATCATGTTATGCATTAACGTACCTGACTCTACCTGAGTGGAAGACGTAAGTGTGCTCACATCCTGGTGCTCGGCATTGGTATCCATCCTTCTCATTCTTCTCCAGACGTTGAACTTGTTCTGTAATGTCAGGGAGAGTGCTTGCATCAAACACAAACTGCTCCAGGTACTTTTCGATCTGATTAAAAAGCCATGCCTTTTTGTCTTCTTTGGACTGCCAGGATTGTGGAACTGTACACTTTGTCGGCTTATCTGCAATTAAATTTGTAATTTGTAATTTGCACATATTTTTCATAATATTTATCCAAGAACACCTTTAAGCTATAGCTTTTCTGAATTCAGAATTAGTAAAATGTTTTTCTTAATTATTTTTATCTAGTCCAAGGTACAAGTTTAAAAAGACAAAATTTGAGCACACAGTTCAAGTTTTCTTAATATTCCAAACCCGTTCAACACAAATGGTTAAGGACAAATAATAATAATTACTGCTCAATTACTGTTCAAAATACATGTATCATCACCTTGTACAGATTTCATTCCAGCAAATTCCATAAACGAGGCAATAATGTGGGCTTCAATTTCTCGGTCGTGGAAGTCCTTGTAGGCATTAAAATCCACTTTAGGTCCCTTCTTGGCGTTTGTTTTTCCTGTCCTGTTCATTGAAGCACACATGCTCCCCACTTCACCCGAAGAATCGTTACTGAAAAAAATTTTCTTGTCCACCTACCCAAAAATAGCAATAATTAAAAAGTGTTCACTTAACCTTCAATCACTTGCAGTGTTTGTATGTGTATGAAGTTCATGTGGGCCTGAAATCTACCAACTCACTTCATAAAGAGTAACTTTTGCATGCCAATCTGTGTGGCTTGGGTCTAGCCCTTTGAGGCAATCAATGGCATCACCCCCATCAACAAATGCCCATTGAACATTCCTGGCTCTTTCCTCTTAATATATATATATATATGTATGTATCTTAATATATATATATATATATATATATATATATATATATATATATGTATATATATATATATAAAATATATATATATATTCAAGTAATAATAAACATTTATTTATACACAGAGAAATTATTGAATAGCAGATCTGGGTTAGATAAAAACATACAGTAAGTATGACATAAAAAATGTCCATCAAAACTTCTTTAGTGAAAAACAACAGTCTAGGTGAAAAATATATATATATATATATATATATATATATATATATATATATATATGTATATATATATATATAAAATATATATATACATTCAAGTAATAATAAACATTTATTTATACACAGTGAAATTACTGAATAGCAGATCTGGGTTAGGTAAAAGCATACAGTAAGTATGCCATAAAAGGTTTCCATCAAAACTTCTTCAGTGCAAAACAACAGTCTAGGTGAAAAATAATTATTGTAGTGTCTCTTTTATGTAATTGCTCAAGTTCATCAAACTGCATTTTGTTGCAAGACACCCACACTATTAGACCATGATGGAAAAATTACTTTGTACGAAAATCTAACCTGTGAGAGCATCCCCGTCAAAGAAAATTGGTACGACAAATGAGAGATCATCATCTGCTTTCCTCTCATGTGGCACATACTTCTTTTGATCGTCTTTAAGGAGCTGAGCCATTTCAGACGACGTGTTTGAATTAAGCAGAGACAAACCCAAGGTGTACTGCAATATTATTCAAAGGACAAACATGTTGAGAAATACAATGCCAAACTTTTTGGAAATGCACCGTAATAATAAAAGTGGCTAATGAAGAACAGCAGAGATTGCCTGTTAACAAGCTTTTGCAGAAGCACGTCTGACTTAAGAATGCACTTGTCCAGCCATGCTCATCTATAAGGAAATTCTTAAGACTCATGAACACAAAAAGATGGACAGCACAAGCCTGTTGAGGCCAAAACTGGGAAATACCCCCCCCCCACCTCCACCATCTACCCCTGGGACTCTCATGTTGCATGACATATATGTAGATAAAGCCTGAGCCACTGAAAAATCCCTTCTACAAGACCCTATGGTATTTTTTATCAAGAGGGTACTAAATACACTGTGGGCAGTTCCTTTCAGTTGATTAATTATAACATTAGTTTCGCTTCCTTGTGTGACAAGCAAGGTCTAAGAACAAACCAAACTTTGAAAAGATGTTATGATGTAAGGCTTTAAAACTTACAAATTCTGATTTCCGTGACATCTCAATGCTGTGAGGATGAGCTATATGTGATACCACCACGTCTTTCATTGGTTGAAAAGCAGGCAAGTACCTGGTTATCACTCTACCCACAAGTATGGC